CTTATTCTACTGAGCCATCTCCCCAGCCCCAGGACTTGGACTTTCAATATTCCTGCCTTAGCCTCTGAGGACTAAGACCAGGCATGGTGGTACATGCCTGTAATTGCAGCAGTAGGGAGGCTGAAAACAGGAGGATCACTACAAGCCTGAGCTCCGTAGCGAGACCCTGTACCAAATACATTAAAAAAGAAAAAAGCTGGGATTACACACATGCACTACTATGGACTCATTCTTGTGTTTTCTCCTGCTAATCAGAATGCTTTCCATTTATCCTAGGAATAACATGTATAGAATTCCCTTTGTCTTTTATGACAAATCAGGAAGTTAAAATCATAAGGTACAACTATCAATCTCAGAATAATGACTTTTGCTTTGCATTTCTAATTTTAAAAGTAATGAACTATAGCCAGGTGTGGTGGCACATGCCCATAAGCCCAGCACTTGGGAGGCTCAGGCAGGAGGATCGCTGCAAGTTCGAGGCCAGCCTGGGCTACATAGCAAGATCCTGTTTCAAAAAAAAAAAAAAAATTAATGAACTGCAAGGGACTGATAGCTAGGCATAGTATAGTAATGCACACTTGTAGTCGCAGCACTCAGGAAGCTGAGGCAGGAGTAAGCCTGCAAATTAGAGGCACCCTGGGCTACATAGTTAGGGAAGCTCTTATTCCACTGGGCCATCTCCCCGGTCCCCACCTGGGCTACATAGTGAGTTCAAGGCCAGCCTGCACTGTATAGTAAGAACCTGCCCTAAAAAAACCAAGCAAACAATAGCAACGAGGCTGAATTTTCTTTCCTTTTTTTTTTGGGGGGGGGGAGAACTGGGGATTGAACTCAGGCCCTTGTGCTTGCCAGGGAAGCACTTATTCCCCTGAGCCATTTCCCCAGCCTCTGAATCTTCAAAATACATCAGGAGGGGCTGGTGAGATGGCTCAGTGGTCTAAAGCACCTATTTAGAACAAGCTAAGCTAAGCAAAACACAGGGACCTCGGTTCAATCCCCTAGCACCACATGCCGGCCAGCCCCACCCCCTGGTGGGCTGAGCTGGCCACACACACACAAAATAAATAAATAAATAAATAAATATTAAAAAAAAAAACAAAACATCAGAAATCATCATTTTCCAGGAGTTTCTCAAAATAAGATCTTTGTCCAAACTTGGCCAAAGGCTATTAGCCTTGTCTTACTGAAGTTTTTCATTGCAAATGTCCAGAAAGTAAGCATTAGAACCCAAGTCTGCCTGATCTGTAGCTATCACCCCTGGGTCCAGCAGTGCCTCGAACAACTCTCAACAGATGTATGCTGTGTGGGTAGTGAAATGGTGGATGGTCGGATAAGAGACGAATAGAAGGGCTGGCAAGATAACTCAGTGGATTAAACACCTGCTTTGGGGCTGGTGAGATGGCTCAGTGGTCTAAAGCACCTACTTAGAACAAGCTTAGCAAAGCACAGGGACCGCGGTTCAATCCCCCAGCACCACATGCCAGCCAGCCCCGCCCCCTGGTGGGCTGAGCTGGCCACACACACACACACACACACACACACACACATAAATAAAAAAAAAAAAAAAAAAAAAAAAAAAAAAAAAACACCTGCTTTGGTCAAACCCTGGTCCTACATGCTGCACAGGCCCCACCCACCCTCGGGGTGCGCTGAGCTGAAAAACAGGAGGATCACTATGAGTCCGAGCTGCGTAGTGAGACCCTGTACCAAATACATTTAAAAAAAGAGACAAACGGATGAACAGATGGATAGATGGACAGATGGGAGTGGGTAGATGAACAAGTGTGGATGGATGAATGGCAGATGGATAGGAGAGTAGAATGACAGATGGGTGGATGAATGGAAAATGGAAATAGAGGAGAGTGCATGGACACATGTTTGTAGATAGACAAAATGTAGTAAGGTGTGGTAAAAAAACCAACCCTACTTCTCTTGGCCATTACAACTGAGATACTAAAGGTACTTCCCCAGGACATGGAAGCGCCAAAGTGGGGTCATGTCAGCATCTGGGGTGGCGATATGTCCACTCCTCCAGAGGTGATATGGGTATCTTTATGCTTCACACACTGTGCCAGACTCACAGGACCCGTCCTCCCCACGCACACTCATACACTGTCCCTCGGATGTGAAACAGTGCCTGGAGCTCAGCCTCCAGACCCAGCCCTGCCACCTTTGCAGACCCCACAGGCTCCATGTTCTCCTAGAGCCATTCTCATCTCTATGCTGGGATGGATGCCAGGATCTACCCCAAGACAGCACCTCGAGGGCTTGGAAAGAACTGCATACTTTCGGGATCCACTACGGTCCTGGGTAAATGGAGCCCACAAACAGGGACCAACCCTGATTGGGGCGGAGTCTGAGGCCCCACAGAATCTGACCCGTTGGAGAAGAAAGCCGAACAGGAATGAGCCTACCTCCCACTTGCATCCCACATGCCGGGCGGATGACTTTCCAGGGGGGATCCAAGGTACCTTGGTTTTCACCCGGACACTCCGCCGCACATTCACGGTGTCCCCTTTCATTCCACGCTTATGAGATTTCTGTGGAAAAGGGACAGATGCAGGTCACCTTCTTTCCTATGTCAGGTGGGGTCACTTTGATAAGATTGCCTCCAACTCTGCAGGGCTGCGTCTGCTGACTGAGGTCGCTGTGGCCACTGCTGGGGTGCCTACCTTCCAAGCAGGAAAGTGGCCTCCGGAACAAAGTGCACATCTCCAAAGCTCTGGAGCCAGACGAAAGCAAGCTGGGCCAGAGGAGTCACCTAGCCACAGCCGTCACCTCGACCTCCCCGGTGTGCTCCTACCTGGCTGCTGGCTGCTGCTGGTTTCGGGAGTTTTTTTATGTGGACGTGGACAGGGGTGTTCTCATCCACGTGAACATGTAAGGGGGGAATTGAAGAGCGGTCCTTCATGGTTCACTTCTGGCAGGCAGGGGAGGGCAACACAAAAAAGGCTGATCTGTGGATGGGTAAACTAGGCATGAGCACGGTGCTCACAGCCTCCGGGGCCCCCAAACGCCTAGCCGCCAAGCGAGCGGGACAGGAGCCGACCGTGGCATGCAGGCAGGGCCGCAGCAGGGGCAGCATTCACCAGGCTCCCGCAGACATCCCAGCTGGAGCTACTGGGGGCACCCGGTCCATTCTGGAGAAAGGACTGCCGGCCTCCGAGAGGATATTCCATCCATCTCCCAGAAGTACAGAGCTCCCAGAAGTAGCCTTGGATTTAGGGTACTGGGCTGGCAAGCAGGAGAAGTTTCTACACAGGAATCTCAATCAGCCGTGCATGCGGATTAGCAAGGGACACAGAGACTGGTTATGATGCAGCGTCAGTCAGCAAGCAGGCATATAACACCGGAAATAGAAAGCAGCCAGGAATGTTAAGGGTAAGAAGGTTGTGCAGATTCTAAAGAAACCGTGGAAGGCTGGGGATGCAGCCCAGTGTTAGAGCACTTGCCTACCATGTGTGAGGCCCTGGGTTCATGTCCAGGACCACAAGGCAAAACCAAAAAAACCATGAATGGGACAGAAACCCCCTCACTTACCATTGGTTCCTAACCCCTACTCTCAGTGTTTTTGTTTGGGGGTTTTTTTGGCAGAACCGGGGACTGAACTCAGGCCACTCTACTGAGCCATCTCCCTGGCACCCCCATTCAGTCTTTTTTTTTTTTTTTTTTTGCAGAACCAGGGATTGAACTCAGACCCTTGCGCTTGCCAAGGAAGCGCTTCTTTTTTTCCTTCTGGCTATTTTAAGATAGTGTCTCACTCTGTAGTCCAGATTGGCCTTGAACTCACTGTGTAGCCCAAGCTGGCCTCAAATTTGCAGCAATCTTCCTGTCTCAGCCTCATGAATGCTGGGATACAGGCATGCACCACTTCACCTAGCTGAAAATTATTTTTCCCTCTATTTTTTTTTTAAATTCTATTCTAAAAACTGTGGCATTTGCCTGGCAGGATAGCGCTTTAACAACCTTCTCACTGCTGGCAGCTTTAAAACAGGAAGAAAAAAAATTATAAAGCAGCAGCAGGAAAGCGAGACACCCATAACAGCGAGGTACCAAGCGCTTGGGCCGCACTGATGATTAACTCAGCAGGTTGAGGCAGTGCCTGAGAAGTGTGCAGAAGCGTTTCTGAAGGGGTCACGGGCTGGGGAAAGTCACCTACCGTCACAGTTACACTGGGTGGGCCACAAGGTGTTCTCAAGACCTTTTTCTGCGTGAGACTCGTTACTCCGTTCTTCCCACACGATGGAAACCTGCACCCAGGCACAAGAAGCAGATTACAAGCAGAACCCTAGGCTGCCCTGCTCCTTACTCTTGGCACTGCACTCTGTAGGTGGGCTGTGGGGTCACAGCCAGGAGCAGCAGCCTGGAGTCCCTGGGCTCCGGCACAGGGTGCCTCAGAGAGGGGCGAAGCCACATGGCTGCCCTGGGAGCCCACCATCCCATCACACTGATCGGGGTCTTTTGCTAAAAAGCCTGGCTGTCATCCTATCACAGTGTACTTGAGAAGCAGCTGGGGGACTCATAGAGACAAGAGTGGGAGTCCCTCAGGGCAGATATAGCTCTGGAGAAAGGCTCAAGAAGTGACTGATATAAAGACAGAATTTGGGGCCAGGGAGATGGCTCAGTGGAATAAGTGCTTCCCTGGTAAGCACAAGGGCCTGAGTTCAATCCCCAGGTCTGAAAAAAAAAAAAAAAAAGACTGGGGACACAGATCAGTGTGAAGGTCTTGGGTTCAACTCCCAATACCAAAAAAAAAAAAAAAAAAAAAAAATCATCTCAGTTGCTGTCACTCAAGGTTTGAATATTCACTTAGGACCAAAGAGTATTTCCCAAAATATTCTACTAAGAGCTAAAGAAACAGGAACAAATTTTAATGCCATGTGTAATCTCCCCCCTTTTGGAGGAGTACTGGGAATTGAACTTGGGACCTTGCACTTAGCAGACAGATACTGTACTGCTAAGGTAAATCCCCTTCCTTATACATAGTGAAAGCCCTATCACCAGATTCACAAAGACAGCAGAAGTTCAATCTGCCCCAAACTTTAGAGATGTCCATCAATTCCCAGTTGGGAAGGGACTCAGAACAATCATCTGATTTACCCTATTGTTTCCTGACAGCCCCCAAATAATATGTTGGCCTCCCCACAAGTTCTTGGAGAAAATGCAACACCAAACTAATTGAGCCAGACATGGAAGCATAAGCCTACAACCCCAACTCGAGGAGGGTAAGGTAGGAGGATCATGTGAATTCTAGGCCAGCCCTTGGCTACATGAGTTTAAGGCCAGTCTGAATTACACAGCAAGATCCTGTTTTAAAAAAGAAAACCCACGGGCTGGTGAGATGGCTCAGTGGTCTAAAGCACCCACTTAGAACAAGCTAAGCTAAGCAAAGCACAGGGACCGCGGTTCAATCCCCCAGCACCACATGCCAGTCAGCCCCGCCCCCTGGGGGGCTGAGCTGGCCACACACACACACACACACACACACACACTAAATTAATTAAAAAAAAATAAACCCCCCCAAAAAAGAAAAACCCACTAAAATAATAGTAACCGAGCACATCAGTATACAAGTTGCTGCATATATGTAACACCTTCTAACCTTTCCTGACCATTTAGCCAAATACTAAAGCTGGGAAAGCAAGATCCCCCACCACACACTCATAACACAGCTGTTCACTTAAAGCCAGTATGTTTGGGAAGGACCCAAACCATCCAGATTCCATGCACATTCTGTAAACTGCACATTCACCTCTTATCATTATTTATTTACACTCAGCTTCCAAAACCAAGAGGGGTGCTGAGAACTTTTTTCATTAAGACGCGGGCCACTTGTGTCTGCTTCAAGGACACACTGCCAGGTAAGGGGCCAGGGTACAGAGCTGGGATGTGTGTGTGTGTGCGCATTTACTTCCTCTCCCCTTTAAAGATGACTTCCAAATATGCTGGTCGGGACCTTCAGCACACAGACAAGGGAAGCTGAAGAGGGAAGCTTTCAGCAGGCCTGGCTGGGGCTCCTGACTACCTCTCCCTGCCCTAGGGCGGAGGTGCCCCCCACATGGCAGTACCTGGGGGAGCCACCTGAGGACGAGGCAGACATGGCTAGGCATCAAAGCCGCAAAGATGGGCAATTGGGTCAGCAGACTTGGCTCAGAGGGACCAGAGAGGGGCTTGTCAATGAGAATCTCAGGGGCCTGGCATCAAACGTCCTCTCTGAGGGGAGGTGGGTGGTAGCTTTGGGGGTGGCAGTTGGATGAAAACTTGGGAGGCGCTCCTCTACTGTCCAAGTCGCACAGCAACTGTCCTGCCAAAGTGGGGAAGATAGGAGAAGCTGAGCTGCCTGCATGGAGCCCGATGCGCTGCGGGTAGACAGATGGGGAGGGACGGGACCACCATGCCCAGGCCCCACCCAGGACGACAGACAAGTGGGTGGCTACCAGGGGGAAACCTGAGGCCTGGATGGCAGGCGAGGTGGGCGAGTGAGAACCGCTAAGCCCCAAGTGGGCCCCGAGGGGCGGGAACCCGCGCTGGGATCAGGAGGTGTATCGCGGGCGGGGCTGGGGCGACTGTCTCCTAGGAGAAGGGGCGTTCCCAGGAGAACAGACAGCGTGGAGAACCAATCGTATTCGAAGCAGGGAGAAGAGGGGACAAGTGAGCCCTGACCGCAGGGGTCTAGACTTAGAGGGACGGGGACTTGACGGAGGGCTGCGGCTGGCGGCGAACGCGACTGCCCAGAGACGGGGCGGGGACCGAGGAGGACGCGGGGTGCGCCACCCACGCCCGCGGGAAGGTGACGGCGGTCCGGCCGGCCCCGCCGCGGTCAGGAGGACGAGGGGCGGCTTCCGAGAAGGACCGCAGGGCCGGCCACCCACCAGCGCGCAGGAGGACACTGGCTGCTGCCCATGGAGGAGAAGCCGAGCCTGCCCAAGGGCAGCGGAGGAGCGCGGCGCACCGCCGGCCGGGAGAGGAGGGAGCAGCAGCCCGCCCGTTACGGGAGGAGAAGCCCGCGCCGGGGGCGGGGCGCGGCCACATTCGGACCCGGGCGACGAGCGGGGCCAGCCCGGAGCGCGGCGGCCTCGCGGCAGGGACACGCATGCCGCCCCACGTCCCACTCTCCCTCGACGGCCTCTCACCAGGAGCGACACGGCTGCGCCCAGAAACGCCTCCTTATGAAGTCGTTGAAGTCTGCTGCCAGGGTCGTGCCATGGAGACGCCGCGGCGGATGCAGTCCGGCTCTGGCGGCCGCTCCTCCCCGCTTCCGCCTCCTTTTCCGACACCCGGTCGGCAGCTCGCCCATTGGCCAGTTCAAACCCCCCCAAGAGCCGCTCGGGCTTCGCCATTAGGTCCAGGCCCTAGCGTCACAGAGATGCCCCGCCCCTCCTGGCGTCCCGCCCACTTCCGGGTCGCGCGTACCGTCGCCCGGGAGACGGACGACGCCTCCAGCGGGCCTGCCTGGTCTTGCTCCGCGGTTCCAGGACCCGCTTTCCTTTCCGCCATTTTTAAAAAATGTCATTTTAGTGCTATACTTAAAAAGTTTCGGGGGCCGGGGAGATAGCTCAGTAGAATAAGTGCTTCCCTGGCAAGCGCAAGGACCTGAGTTCAATCCCCAGTTCCACCGAAAAAAGTTTCGGACGGTGCGGCAGGAGGATCGTTGCAAGTTCGAGACAAGCCTGGGCTACAAACTGAGCTCAAGGCCTGCTTGGACCACATAGCGAGATCCTGTCTCAAGAAGACAAAAAAAGTTGTACACACACACAAACACGAAGTTATAAAAAACAGTTTATAATACAGTTCTGCAAAAGTGAAAGAACTGTCAGGAGAAAGGGAAAGTGATGCCTTTTTGACTAATCATTAAGGAAGTAGAAATGAAACAAAATGTTTAAAACATGAACATTTCCGAAGTATACCTTTTGTAAATAGAAACAAATTCACAAATTTCTCTGAACGCTAAATATCTAAACTCAGATTTCGTCAGCGTGGTGCTGCCCGGCAGTAACGGCAGCGCTGAGGGGAAGATGAGGTATGACCCCTGTGAGGTCAAGGCCAGTGTGAGCTACACAGTGAGGTCAGGCTAGCCTGAATGAACCACCTACCTAAGCCTTATCTCAAAAACTTTTAGGGGGCTGGTGAGAGGGCTCAGAGGTCTAAAGTGCCTGCTTCCTCAAGCTTAAATAGGCGCAGGGGACAGCAGTTCCATCCCCAGCACCACCTGCTGACCCAGCCCCGCCCTCCGGTGGCCTGAGCTGGCCAAAAAAAAAAAAAATTAAATTAATAAACAGCATTGCCACACCACTTCAAGGAGTATCAAATTGGATTTATTAATGTGTAGTGTTGAAAGAATGTACTTTAAAAAAAAAAAATTGAGGCAGACTCTGACTACTCAGTTCAGGCTAACCTTGAGCTCACTTTGTAGCCCAAGCTGGTCTAGAACTCGCAGCGATCCTCCTGCCTCAGCCTCTCAAGTGCTGGAATTGCAGGCATGCATAACCACAATCAGCTAAGAATATACTCATTAAACAATTCTTAAAACATGCACATGTTTTTCTAAGTGTGCTACAGCAGACCATCCGTGTAGATACCCACCCTTCCCTGTCAGATACCCATCCTTCCCTGTCTTCCATCCTGATTCCCAGAACTCAGAGGAGCCTGGAAGCCCCCAAGTGCTGCCTTTGATACTCAACCAGAAAAACCAGGTCCACAGAACACATTAGTAGCGCCGGCTGAGAACTGCCTGTGGAAAACCAGCCATAGGCCTGGTCCAGACAGCTCCTGCCCACAGCCCACTGTGTGTCCCAGCCCCAGCACCCCGCTGGGCCCAAGCAGGAGGGGCCGCTTCTCCTGCACTCCCGCCCTCTCACACACTGTGGCTGGTGGCCGCGCTCTGTACAGACCTACTGGCCCTCACTGCTCACTGAGTCCCCACCATCTCACAATGCAGCGCTGTCAGCCAATCATGGGGGACTGTCACATGGCTCACAAGGCCATCCTGGATTCCGGGAGACTTTGAGAACTCCCAGGACAGCAGGCCTCAGTTCCTGTATCTCATTTTTTTCTTTTCGTACAAGGGAGTTGAACTCAGGACCTTCCACTTGCCAAGCAGGCACTTATGCTGCTGAGTGATTTCCCCGGCCCCTTCCTGGACATCTTTACCTCCACTGATGGCAGCATGATCCTAAAGGGTCACACAACTGTGCACCCTTAAGTTCCAGCTCCCACCTCTCCTAAACAGGCCTGCTTTTCTGCCTTCACTTTCATAGACTGCCATACATTATTTGATTTTCAGTGCTAGAGATTTCCCACCCCATTCCCTTGACTAGTTTGTGTTTTTCCATGTTTAACAAATTTTTTTCTTTTCTTTTTTTTTTGTATTTTACGGAAGGGTCTACAGGGTATTCAGGGTCTCACTGCTAGATCAGACTCATAGTGATCTACCTGTTTACAGCCTCCTAAGAGCTGGGATTACAGGGGATCAACTCAAGGTGCTTTAATCCGCTGAGCTATTTGGCCAGCCCTTTCTATGTTTAATAATTGATGGTTCTGGGACTGTAGAGTTGGCTCAGTAGAATAAGTGCTTGCCTAGCAAGCGCAATGGCCTAAATTCAATCCCCAATTCCACAAAACAAACAAACAATTGATAGTTCTGAGGTAAAAGAGGAATACAGAAAGGAGACACGGGTTGGTGAGATGGCTCAGTGGTCTAAAGCACCTACTTAGAACAAGCTTAGCAAAGCACAGGGACCGCGGTTCAATCCCCA